CACATAGCAGCCAAAGAATTGGCTGTCACAGGAGTGACTTTTGTGCTCTGGTGGATATGATCCGACTCAGCCATTAGATCCCTTCTCCCGCCCCTGGGAGCAGCTCTCGGAGGTTACACTCCAAAGCACGCACTGAGCCTCTTCCAGCTCCTCCCAGCTGGGAAGGAGATCCCTGGAGAGGACCCTTTGTGTAGGGGCCACAGTTCCTGCCTCTGGAAGCGTTTGCTGGTATTGATCCGTTTGGGCTTGGTGTACCTTGCACCGTGGGAAACCCCACAGGGTTACAGGCAGGGTCAGCCCATCCCGTGGAAAGTTCCCAGGTGAGCTTTGAACAAGGACAGATGGATCATGGCTCTAAGCAACACTTCAGCCCTAGATCAAGCCTTCTAAAATCACCAAAAATCAGTTTATTGTTTTTCTCTCCTTCCTTTCTCCCTTCTCATTTTTTCCCATAAACTGCTAAGAGTTGCTCATTTTCAGGTATTTTCCCACTCTGAAACTTCATATAATTCTTTAAAATATAATCCTGGGTATTGAAGGAGAGTAAAAGGAGTCACAAATCCATTTCTAGCCAAAGAAAAATCAGCATGGGAAACAAAGCTGCCTTAAAATCTGTTTTTCTGCCCAAGATAAAAAAATGGTTAAAACTGCAGGGAGATTATGGTGTTATCAATTATGAATTGAATGAGGAATTTTGTAGCTGGACATGCATTGGCGATTAATTCAATCAGAAAACAAGATTTATGACCAGTCTGCGATGTACTCCTGCTGGTTTAAACTGTATTGAAATGATGTAATTTTGTATATTAAGTTTATGTAATACTGGTAGAACTGCGATCAATATTTCCTTCAAGTTTGTTGGTTTTTCTTTTGGTTGTTTTAGTGGAAATGAAGAATAGAAAAGTGTTTATTTATGAAGTTTTGGGCTCGTTAGAGTCTCAGGCACAAAACTCCCACTGGATGCAGTGCCGTACTCATTCCTCCACCTGCAACAATCAACACTTCATTAGCACTTGCCTTATAATCTGGAAACTTAATTGCTACCATTAATTACTACCATCGAGCAACAATTTCTCACCACTTATCCTTCCCTAACAAAATACATGTTCTAAACTTGATTCTCGATATAGAAATTAGGTAGAAACATTCCACGGAGTTTCACACAGGTATTTGGGATTGGTCTGATCACTGGAAGTATCCTGGAATGCTGTGTAGTGTTATATCATCACTCCTGTTTCCAAATAAGCTGTGGTAGTGAAGTGTGAAACCAAAACCACTTGATCCACTGTGGCTTGAAGTCACAGGGAATTAAAATGAAAAGCTTTATTGTCTAGCAAAGAATTCTTGTTGCTTGTCATCAGCAACAATGGATTTCTTCCTTGTTCTTGGAGTTTGGAAATGTCTGCCAGTAAAAAGCCATGAATGAAGAGTTTTTACACAGATCAGATTATTTTTTCCTTTTTTATTTTTTTTAATAATTAATAGCAGTTTTGTCTAAGTTGGAATGCAGGACTTGAAGCTTTATTTTAGGTCATTTTAAATCTAGAGGGGCTTTACAGGACAAGAGATAGACAAGGCATTGGAATAGCTCTTGTAGACAGGTTGTGGTGTCTCCCTCTGAGGAAGTAGGTTGGCCTCAGAACTCGTTAGGTATCATGATCCTGTTTCTGCCTTGGGATGAAGCAAATTACCTTCAAAAGTCCCTCAAAATCCTACTATTTCATGATGAAGCAGTAACTTTCCAAACTGCTGTCCTATGCATCTTGTATAAACCCAGGCTCACACCACTCTGGTGAGATTTATACGAGGATGTTTCAGAGGCAGATTAGGAAGCCCTGGAAAAATCCAATGGCAGTTTTCTCTTCTGGCACCACATTTGTTTTTTGACTCAACAGTCCTAAGAGGCAATGAAAAAAAAAATAGAAGACACAGAACTATAAATATAAAGACATCAGAGGAAAGACTGGGTGGATGAGTAAAATGAATGGCAAAAGATGATTCACAGGGAGGAAATGTCAGCATATATTATACATACGAGACAAACAACTCTCTAAAATCAACAGTTTATTTTGCTGAACTCTCTTCATTGCAAACATCCAAGCTAAAGGATCAAAAGGAATTAGGATGCACTTCATCTCTGGTAGTGCCTGCTAATAAAGATTGAATTGGTGAATATTAGGGACAGTCTCCATCAATTCTACTCATTGCCCCTCCTTTCATACACATACATTTTCTAAACCATAGCAATTAACCCTTGTGATTCTGAGCAACCCCTTTCTCATGAATAGATGTAGTTTTTTTTAAATACTAACCAGAGTTGCATATAATACATCTCTTGTGCATGGGAAGGGGCTTTGGGTAGCAATAAACATCCTCTTCATGCTACCATGGCTCTGTGATCTGCCTTTGACTTGTAGCTGCCTTTGCTCTTGTGTGGTTGTTGATGGGAAATAGAATTTACTGATTCCAGGGGCACAGGGAAACACTAAGACCCAACAGGAAACTACAAAACTCCACAGAGGCTCTGCAGCATTTTGCACACATCTGATGGTGCAGGAGGGTGTTTTTTCCAGCTTTCAAGAACTGCCTGAAGAGTAACTTCGTATTTAAACTCAGCAGACATTTTAAACTGGCTAAACCACTTTATCTGTCAACATTTGTGCCTCCTGTCAAACCTTGCCCTCCAATGGATTTGCAATTTCCTTTTAACTATCACACATTTGCAGCAAGTGGATGATCCATATGCTATGGCCACCAAATCTGTTGCTTCATTTAGCCAGAAAAGATCATTTGATCAGTTTAGTCTTCAGGTAACATCTACACCAGGATGTCACCTGGCTATCTTATTTTTGAGTGCAATCCTTTTTTATTGAGAAGGAAGAATCTGAGTTTCATTTATTAAAAGAGCCTTTGTTCTCATGTAGGAGGAGAGTGTAGTCAGAGATAATCTTTACCTCTCAGTCTCTTGATAGTACAGAAAAGCAGCTATCTTGAGAGCTGGCTTTCAAGTAAAATGGAACGTCAGGGGTTTTTTTCTCATGAAATTTCATTTTTAATTTTTAAGTGATTGAAAAACAGGAACAAAAAATAGTTGTGGGAGTCCCTGCATTTGTGATTATGGCAAATACATTTTAAGTAAATTACAGATGGCTTTTTACTAAAAAAATGTTCAAAATGCCTCAGTTAACAAATATACTTAGCCTGAATGTGTGATAAAGTGGTAAGCAAGCTGACAAAACAAGCCAAAACTAAGTGATTATTCTCTTTTCCGAGGAAGCCACAAATGGTGACTGTTGAGAGAGGAGCCCAGTCATCAGAACCAGGGGATTAATCTGCACAGAACGAGCTCTGGGCTCAGAGCAGGAGGAAAAGTTTCAATAACAACAATGGGATCATTGTTGGGAAAAAAATGCAGAAAACCCATCTGCTGGAGCCATGTGACTGAGTCCCAGAAACAGGGGTGAGCTGTGCATCCCAGGGAGCAATCTGGAGATCAGCTGAGAGGAGATCCTGGACAGAGCCCGGACCTGCCTTCGGAACACCTTTCTAAAGGAAAGGGGGAAAAAAAATAAAAGGATACTGAAGAGAAATTTCAAATAAAAAGTTCCCACTTGCCCAATTAATGGACTGACCTTTCCAGAAACTCTTACAAATTTCCAGCCTCTGAGTTTTAGGTTTGAAATACGAATTTAAAAGGCGGGGGTGGGAGAGGGAAGAGGTGGAAGGGGAGTGTGTCATTTCTTTTGGTATTTTGTTTCCAGCTCTATCCTTTGATCTCTGCAGCAGTGTAGTTCAGACAATCTGTAGAAATATTGCTAAACCAAGTTACTTTGTTATATTTTACTTCAGCCATTTGTCAGCATATGCCATAAAAATTTTAGTTTTCTCTCTTGATCTTTATCAGAGATTGCTGTTTCTCTTTGATGTCTCCCTCCTTATTTGACATTTGGGTCTGGTTTCCCATTTAATTATCTAACTCTCTATTGCTATTTTAGTTTAAAAGTTCACTGCAATATTTCACTCCTCCTGTTTCTCAGTCCCTTCCTCTGTGCTCCAGCTGAGACACAGGAAAATGATGAGGGTGATCACCACGTCAGGGGGGTTTGTGCCCAAGCCCTCCCGTGAACAGAGGGGAGCACAGACCCCTTGGTCATTGAGCATGGGCAGAAAACATGAGCTCCAAGGCTGGCTCTCCTAAATCAAAATTTCCAGAGGCCGTTCTTTGATTGAACAGTAAATTAAGACCATTTCGTGGAGGTCTGAAAGTCTGAAATGTAAACAGCAACACAGCCAAAATATCTATAAAAGATTTAATACAGTCCCAGTTCCTACAACCCATCTTATGAAAACACCATCCTCACTGCTGTGTTGGAAACCAGAAGGAATTCCTCACACTTTGTAGCCTAGAGAAGGAGATTTACTCTCAAGAGAAACAAGCTGAAGCAGGGTGGACATTTTACCTCCTTATTCTGGAAAGATGTTTTGGAATAGCTGGAAGCTCTTCAGGACAGCTGGTTCTTGGGGTTGTTGGGACTGTTTCAGGAGCCAGAGGCCATCGACTGAGGTGGGGATGACCAAAGCACCAACAAGGACTTGGTCTGGTCAGTTTGTTGCTGCAGGGTGTGGCCATGTGAGTGTGAGACATGAAGGACTCTGTCTCCTGGCACCACTGAAGAAGTGCATGTAAACCAGAGGGGTAACTGTGCCACCCCAGTGATGGGGTGAGATGAAGTCCTGGTGAACTCCTACAGGAACAGAGAGATTTCAGCTTCATGCTGATGGAGGAAGAGACATGTGGGAACTACTTCTTGCTCTGGAGTACAGAGCAGGTTAGAAGAACCTCTCGATGGGTGCGCTGAGATATAGGATCAAAGATTTATTATTAAGGGCAGAACTGGAGCCACGTGCAGCGATGGGTGAGTCCTGGCATATGGGCTGGGGATCCTTGTGGAGGGTGTGGAGAGTGTGTAGCTCCATCTGGCAGCCCCAAAGAAGAGGATCCACTGGAAGCCCACAGCAGACTGAACATATTGAGCTTCTGACGGAGTGACCCCCCCAGCCCAAATTTGGCAGCCAGACTAAAACTGTGGAGGGAAATCCAAGATTTTATCAACCTTTTTTTTTTCTTTTTACCCCCTTCCCAAATGAAATCTTTGAAAGCAAAGATAAACCAGGGAAATGGTGCTCCCAACCTGCTTATGTTCAGGAGTCAGAGTGCTTGTCTAGCATGAAGCAGACCTAGGTTTGGCCCCCTCTTCTGCCTGAGAAGTCTGGAGTTTGCCTTTTCCACCACTAAGGAAAATAACCCAACTGCTGGGATATTTGTAGATGTATCCAGATAGATAGAGTTATTTTCATGTATTTGCCATATGTCTTTTCTGTTAAGCAAGTTCCTCTTTGTGAGAAGTGTTCAAATATTGATGGAAGAAGAAGAGGGACTGTGAGAGGGACTCCCTGGCACAACATTTCTAGCCAAAAATATGGAGGTGAATTGTTTCACTTTCTGCTCTTTGCACTGCAATAGCTTATTTTTTCTGCCAGATAGGGCACTTCCCACAAGACAGTGCTTGGAAATACACTCCTTTGAAGACAGGCAGAAAATATTCTCTCACCTCTGGTTTCCCTGGATATGTCCAAGGCTGGAAAACCTCATGTTCCACATCTGAAGAAGGTTGTGAGTCAGTTTGCTGCCTGTATGGGGATGAGGCTCTGAATTTGTCTGCCTTACCCTGGTTCACCTTGTCTCCCAGTGGGAACTGGAATTTAACAGTGAAATAAAGAAAATGTTTGAAACTCAGGATAGATGTTTGGTGACAAAACATAAATAAAATAAGGAATTATATGGTCCTGCTCTGTAATTGAAAGGTAGCTGTTCCCTAGATCTTCCCTCTTTCTCACCTAGATTGTGTTTTTGGGGATATTTTGGGTGAGTCGATCTCCTTGGGTAGTACAAGGAACTTGATCCCAAGCTGTTGGGTGTGAAGGAGGGTCCTCTTATCTTCCCATCAAGTTTTATTCTAGCTGAAGTAATTCAAGATTTCTTGGGCAGTTTCCAGGTTATTCTTCAGTTCAGTGTTCTGGAAGTGGGGAACAGAATTGCCCCTGTTGAATAGGAAGGGCTCAGGATTTTATGAAGCATTTTTTTTTTTAAATACAGGTTGGAATTCAAATTCTGGGACAGATGATTTTCAGTAATATTTTCTTTTCCTTGGTTTAATTCTGTTCAAGTCAACTTTCAGCATGTATAAAACAAGTTGTCTCTGCTGAGCACTGACAGTAAAACAACAAGGACATTGGAAAACACCTTTCTCCTTTAGCATCTCAAAATGCAGGATATGTAAGTCTTGGGATCTCAAACTACTGAGCTGTGTCTGTTTTCCCACTTAGGGTCAGTGACAGCAGGCTCTGTGTGTGGCAGATCCCTCAGTGTGCTCCAACAGCTGGCTTTGCATCCTTTGCACAGAAAGGATGGAATCATAGAATCCCAGAATGGTTTGGGTTGGAAGGGACCTTAAAGATCATCTGGTTCCACCCCTGCCATGAGCAGGGACACCTTCCTCTAGCCCAGGTTGCTCCAAGCTCTCTCCAGCGTGACTGTGAACGCTTCCAGGGATGGGACAGCCACAGCTTCTCTGGGCAACCTGTGCTGGGGCCTCCCCACCCTCACAGGAAGGAATTTCTTTCCAATATCCCATCTAACCCTGCCCTATGTCAGACAGTTCACCCTCAGGTGACTGCAGGGTTTTATTTACTGCCATGGCATCTTGTGTGTCCCTATGGAGAAGGGAGTTTCATTTGTAGCCGTGCATTGCTTGAAAAAGACCACTAATACCTCTCTAAGTTTCCTTTTAAAGTTTTACAGGGTAAAAAAAGAGAGCCAAGGCATTAAAGACTTTACATGCTCAGAAGGACAGAAGCAGAAAAACAAAGAAACTTAATCTGGGATACACAAAGAAGAAAGGGGGGGAGCCTGATGTGGCTCTAATGAGAGAGGGCAAGATTGACATGGAAAAGATGGGACAGGCAGCAGAGTATAAATAGTAGCTGCAGTTTATTTGTAACTCTCATTTTTAGGTGGGGATGATTGACACATGGATGGGCTGGATGAAGGTAACCTCCCTGATCTTTAACTTGCAGGTCACATGGAGAAAACTTTGAGAAAATACTCCAACATGTAGATGTCAAATTGAGTGACAGCCGCGTGTGAGGTGAATTGCATTTCCTGGCTTTTTTACATGCATCACTTCACAGAAATGATGGCTGCCAGCGGAACAAAGAGACGTCCCTCCCGACCGGGGTCAACACACTGACAGTGCCCACCCATTAATAGAAAACACTGTCATTTAAAATAAAATGCTGTGGAGAAAACTTCAAAAATCTATTAGCCAACACAGTGGATAGTATCAGTTTGTGCCGTGAATTACTGTATACCATTCCAGTGTTAATGTACAGCGCAGTGTGTGGCACCATTTTCATCTGTAACAATATATATAGAATGCCATATGGCTGACAGCATGTACTACACATGTCAGGCTCTTCTGTTTTCTAGCTCTGTACATCTTATTTGCTTCTGCCTAATTATCTTGTTCTGTTGAGGGGAGGGGAAAAAAAAAACACAAGAAAAGCCAATGGGGATTCAAAAATCAAGGGCAGCAAATAGTGCCAGTTACTTAATTCCAGCGTTAATGCGTTTCTGTGATGTTTCTTAAAAGATGCAATTGGACATCCGTTGCTCGAGGTGGAATGTGGGGCTGTAGTAAAGGCTCTATCTGTGGCATTTCAAAATAAACAAACAAAAACAAATGAGAAAGAACAGCCCTGCTTTATGCCGTCCACTTATATTGTTTATTTCTAGGCATAATTTTTCCAGCTGTTAGAATGTGCCTATATTGCCTCCTATTCTCAACTTCTATCTAAAAGTAGTGCCTGGTTTTTTTGGGTTTTTTTCCCAGCAAAAACAAAATAGGGCTGAAAAAGGTTGCCCTAAAATTGGACCCCTGGATCTAAAGAGCTCCTCAGAAGTTTAAGCCCTGAATTTAATTTTTTTCTTTTTTTCAGAGGGATTTTGTATTGTTTAAAGGTCAAAGCTCCAAGATTTGTCTTCAGAGATTTAGTCCTGGCTCATCTGTCAGTCACTCTCACCCTCATAAAGGCCAGAGGCGATTGCCAGCACTCCCCTTGCTGCGCTCCCCCCTTACTGAGCACTTGCTCCACAGGGAAATATCTTGTCCTAGACTGGAAGGAAGAAGTTCCCATCACTTCTGTAATGAAAACTCAAGAGATAGAGGGGAAAATCAGGACTGACACCTACTTACAGTGATCCTGAACAGAGCAGAACTACTATGACCACTGCAGCCTTCAGGCTTTGCGTTCTCTGTGGTCAGAAAGAACTGGTTGGCCCACCAGGAGCTTAAAATAGTAATATTTTTGGATCATTAACTTTTACTAGCTGCTGCTTTCGAAATGAAGCTCAGTTCCATGCTGAAAAGTCAATATAGTTAGAAATGGGTTGTAAAATTGGTTGGGAAAAGCAAATGCCACAAACGGGGGGCTTGGTGTGGAAATGGGCTGGCAGGTGCTAAACAGGACTGGTTAGCACTGAGCTGCCTATAGAACAGCTCATGAGTGGGGGCATAAAGTGAACACCATTTTTAACCTGCACAACAAGGTCTTCCAAGCAGGAAAAAAAGACTTAATCCATGAATGGGGTGTTAAGAGCTGCCTTGATGCAGTACCTACAGTCTCTGGGGTTGGGACGTTCCAAAAGGGGGCATTCTTTGATCAGGAAGGCAATTTTTCCTTACCGTTTTCAGTGGCAAAATGGTTTTTATAGTAGAGATTTCATTGAAAATTCAGGAAGCAGCCAAAGTTAACAGCACTGTACTCTGTTGTGTGAGGATCCCTAGCCATATTTTCTCTTAAAGCTAATTAAACATGACTATCCATTTAGGAAAAGAAGCCCTAGTATAATTTTCAAACAATTTTCTTAGTTCAATAAATTATTACTTTATACCATGAGAGTTTGCTCTGTTGATGGGGCCATTTCTGCTAAACTTACTGCACGATTGCAGCTGGAGTTTCCTACTCCCAGGAATGTTCTTCCTCTGAGCTGTTGTGATCTTTGTATCAATTCCAAGTACATGATATTTCATTAACTCACATTTCTTCTTGTTCATATTTTTGTTGATTGTGTCGGATTCCTTCTGCACAAATTCCATGGCAATTATGAGGAAGAAGCATGTTCCATGCTCCCACTTTGGTGTGAAACCTGTTCCAGCAAATGGCACACGATTCCTCTCTCCCAGTTTTAAAGTGGAGTTTTCATTTTCACACCAGAGGTACCTGAAATTCCAAAACAGGGGTGTAGTGCAGCAAGGCAGAAATAGGAAACTTTTAACAGAGAAAGTATGAATTTAATACAATGAAAACCAAAAAATTGAAACTCTTAAAATGCAACTCTGAACAGTGTTTGAGTAGTTTTTGCAAAGTTGAGAAAAAGATCACAAAGCACTGGAATACTTTGGAGGGGAGAGGAGCAAAAGAGGGAGGACAGAAAAGGGAAGTGTGCTGTGCTCTCCCATGTGTGTGCTCACTCCAGGACAAGGACACGAACAGGATTGGCTTTGCTCTACACTTCTATTTTTTTTCCCCCCTAAAAAAAGATCATTTACAAAAATAAAAATACCAATGTGTTTGAGTTTGAGCATCTTACTGGACAGCCACATACATACATAACTTTTATAAATGTTATATACCATGAGTTAAATTCAGCTTTTTCACCCATAGTCATGGAGATTTAACCTTTCCAAAATGAATGGTTGACAAAGATGTGGTGTAAATGGAAAAAAATAGCTCATTTATCCATGGCAAATTACAGGATCAAGTTCACCTATGTTTTCTTAGTGCAATCCATAGTATTTCAGTTACTTGAGCATTATTTGTCTGGCTTTCGACCAGGGCAGCTGAATCCATGGAGCACCTGATGTCTGTCAGCTTGATCAGACTGAGGAGTGTTTTGGTATTGAATAAAGTATTTTTGTGACATCTTAGAAATAACACGGGGCCAGAGTTCCCTCCAGGCTCAGGCAAATGAGGCAGTTGCCTGGAGCAGGAGACTGTACAGGAAGCAAAATGGCCATGGCTCTTATCCACTGCTACAGCAAACCCCTGCATGGCCAGAGCAGCTCCTGCTGCTGGGCAAACTATCATCCTGGATGGAAAACTCAACAGGGATGGCCACCAGGAGTAGGGGACAGGGAATCTGCCCCAACAGCAGCAGTGACTCTCTTCCTTTTCTATCCATGGTCAGCAGAGCCAGCCAGACTCTCCAGAGTCCCTGCTCCCCGTCCTGTATCCCAGTTCTCTCTTTCCAATATTCTCTCTGCCCTTTTCCTTCTCTCTTGCTCCTCTCAGCCATGTCCCAGCTGAGCTCTGGCCAAACCCTGTGCTCCTGTCTCAAGGATATAAACTTTCAACACTGGCAGTGCTGCTGGGAAACCTGTGACACACCCCTGTGATGGTTCAGGTCCCTACTCCATGGCCGTAGATGGCATTTTGGATAGCAATAACAAACTGACCTGCAAGAATATCTCCAGTGCCCCTCCTGGAGCTTATACACATTCCTCCTGTAGTGAAAACTAAATGTCACCTACCTACATATTCCTTCCTTGTTACCTGATCACTGGGGGTTTCTCCTTCCCTCTAGTTTATTGCTGTGAAGAGACATTACAGGGCATTGCTGCTTCTGCCTGAGAAAATGCCTGTATGCATTGGTGTTTGGTCTAGGGCTGGCTTCTGGGTAGGATTAATCATTAATTCTAATGAAGTTAGTGGTTTGGATCCCATTTCTGTGCTGCAGTTTTGCAAAGAACACTTATAGTCTTAGGATGAAAGATTTGGAATAAATGTGAAGTACAATCTGTCCTGAGTATGAATAGCTCACTTATTGAAGCCACTGTGAGTGATTAGCTTTGCCTATTTGGGCATTAATTTTGGTCACAGGTACTTACAAGAAAGCAGAAAGCCTGTGGAGAAATCACACCAGGTCTTTGCACCTGCCCTTTCCGCCAGAAAAGACATTCCTGTTTCTTCTCCTTTGTGACTATGGGAGTTATTCCATACATGGAATGATGTTCCATATGGATAGGTTCTAGCTATGTGACCCTATACAATTGTTTTTTATGCATGTGTGTATAAAGCATATATAGATCTCAGTGGATTCCCCCTCTGCTGACAAATAACCCAGTACTGACATGGATGGGGAATTGGGGAGCCCATGGGACTGCAGCTGTGAGGGGGAAAGAGGAGACACAGGTCTCCATGGTGTCCATATCTCCTGTTTCTTGGGAGAAGAAGCTCCTCACCCCTATGGGCAGTGCAGCCTGGCCAAGTTATTTCCCATAAAACCTCTGGGGTTGTGACCAGGGAGAGGCCACTGCAGAGGGGAGAATTTACCTGTCTCAGGGCAGCAGGATCTGCAAAGTGTGGGAGCCTTGATGAGCTCAGTGTGAGACAGGGTCAGAAAGGAGTCTGAAATGGGGGAAAACATTGGGTCCATCCAGTCTGGAGTCTGTGGCCCTTCTCTGAAGGGACATCCAGAACCTGGATCCTTTGCACTTTGAGGAGGTGCTGTGGGAGCACCACACAGAGCTTGTCCCTGTTGCTTCAGTAGGCTGCCCACTGTAGGGTACACATCTCTGCCTCCTGTCATGTGTTTCTGCCACACTGAGGCCCCTCACACCCGGCTCATTTTGGGGAACAAACTGTTGCTGCAGGCCAGCAACAGCATGTCTGGCCTCACTTGTGCCAAAGTGTCCCTGTTTTCCCCCAAGCAGAGCTCCCAGAATAGCAGTGTGTTCATGCTGAGGCCTCTATGTTGTCTCCTCTGGGCTTTGGTTGCATGTGAAAATTCGGTTCTTTCTGTTTCACTTCCTCAAGGACTTGGGTCTGTTCTGGGACAGGAGGTGTGTTTGCGTTTCTAATTCTCTTTACCCAAATACCTCTGTGTTTCTTCTCTTTTTGTTACCTTTTAATCTGCTGTTGGATCTGCCTGCCCTGTGGTAATATTTCAGCCTTGTGTATCTGGCTACTCAGTGGGAAAGACAGTTCCCAGAGCAACTGCTGCAGTAAATGCTTTTTGGCATCCAGATGTGTATTCTGTCATTTCCCATGCTGTGCATGTGCTGTCTCTTGTATCCATGGATCAACAAGTGTGGACAGGTACAGAGGCATATGGTGCTGCTATTTCATTGCTGACACTGAAGAAGGGCTTTCTCATAAGAAACAAACCAACTCCTGTGTGACACCTGTGTTCTTACAAAGGGACCTCTGCGAAGGCAGCTGCAAATCTGGTTTTCCCTTCAATATTGACTGGCTTGCAAGTGGGCAATTTGCTCTCCATTCCAGCTCCAGGCATGGCTGGAAGCATGCTGCCAAGAGATTGTGTGGATGCACTGTGCTGTGTGTTAAGCAGATGATTCCCAGACAGGTACACGGGGATGGGAAGCTGATCCTGACATGATCCAAGCTCCCACAACTGTGCTGTCATTAATCCTGCCCTGTGTTGGATCCCTCTTCCAGAGTGACCCTGGGTGGCAGAAAGTGAATGAAGAGAAGATCTGGGGTTCTTGGTGGTGCTTTATGCCTCGTCCCTCTAACTGCAGAAAACATTTAATCCATTTTATTCCAGCAAAATGAAATTTAGATACACAATTAAGAAAAGTGCTTCCCATGGGATTTCGTGCAGCCCCAGTAGCTGTACAAAGGATCTACAAATTCAGAAACTATAATGGGTGACTTTTAGCTCTTCAAATTACTTTATTATCCTTCCTCTATCTGTACCATATGCTAAATAATGCTGTTTTATTTGGCTTTGATTTTTATTGTTTTATAGTATTGAAACATTCATAATCTTGGCTAATCCTAAGAGTGTTTGTTTAGGAGCTTTATTCATTATTTAGGCCAAAATATTAAAAAATGTCTGTCAGCTCTGGGGCCTTGCTTTTTTTCTGAGTTTTATTTGAGTTTTCTGGTTTTGTTTTTTGTAGAACTGATCCTTGACATTAATTACACAGAGTTTCACACAGCACATGTGCTTGCAGAGAAAGGACATCTCCTACAAAACTTGTTGTACACAGCCAAGCCTTCCCACGCTGGTGATGAATATTTATGCCGTGAATGTAGGGTGGAAGGTGGCATCTTCCTGGATGAATTGGGGGCTAGATGCTATGACTACATTATTTAGACCACTTTATTATAAGGGGTTACCGTTTTTATTGCCTGTTGCAAAGCAGAGAGATACAGTAGATCTTCCCAAAGATCAAAGTGTGTCTCTAGGGCAGCCAGTAAATTAGTGGAGATTATAAATGAGTGCATAGTCATTGATGTCTTGAGAGCTCGGCTCAAGAGATCAGAGAGTATTCTTTCCCCCTTTCTGTTCATAAGTGTCTTTCTAGAATAGATTACTTTTTTTTACACTTAAAAGCAATATTCATGGACTTCATAAGAAGAAGTGTTTCAGTAGGACATGCTCTGATGGCATCACTCCCTGTTGTATATGGTCTTATTATGGACTGATGCTTCCCTGAGATACAGGCTCGTGGAGACTGATGTTGGTGATGTGTGTTCAGAGAATCATCTCGCTTAACTGATTCCATCGTACTTTATAGCAAGCACAGCCTCCACAGGAACTTTTTCAGCAGAATGAGAGCTCTTCAGAGCTCTGTTATGAGGTGCAAAGAGTGTATGAAGCAAAATAAAAGCCAATTAGAGAACGCTTCACTATCCTGAAAGAGGAGATTATAGCTATGGTGGGGAAAAGTAAGTATAAACCAAATCACACTATGCCAAAAACTGCACATAAAAACCCCCAGAATAAACATCCATTTCATGAAGGGATTTGAAGTTAACTTTTAATATCCAAGCTGGGAGAGAAGTCAGAATTGTGTCTTTGTGCAGAAGATGGAACAGAGCTCTCACTTACAACAACAAATCCGGAGTCTGTATATTGTGAGAACAACCTCAATCTGAAAGACTTAAATTTTATTTTAAAGTTTCTGTATATTTCATAAAATAGAAATGAAAAAAAAGTAATCCCAAGCCAGAGGTTTCTGGACCTCTCAGCTTTAGAGAAATGCTTTGTGTGGAAATTAGCACTGCAGAAATAACTGAGT